ATTTTTTACGGACGCTGCGGCTTCGTTGGGTTATGGGGCATATTTTCAAGGGAAGTGGTTTCAAGGGCGATGGCCACAGGAGTTATCACCACCCTCGATTGCATTTCTAGAGCTGTATCCTATTGTCGTTGCCGTAATGTGTTGGGGCCCCCTTTTGGCCAATCATAAGGTTAAGTTTCGGTCGGACAATTTGACCGTGGTTCACATGATTAATACTCAGTCGGTCAAGACGTGTTCCATGTCAATGTATCTTTAATGTCCGTTTATTGGTGTTGGAATGTTTGAAGTACAATCTTACTTTCAAAGCAGAACACAATTCCGGGGTAAGCAATGAACTGGCAGATGAACTATCTCGGTTTCAGATGCGACGCTTCCAAACATTAGCCCCCCGAGCCGAGCCCGACATGATTCCGTTGCCCGCACTTCCGCAGGTATGGTAGACCATGAAATCAGTCGGCTGTTACACTTGGCCTTCGCGCCCAACACCGACAAACCGTACAGTTCGGGATGGAATGCATTTTGTCGTTTTTTGGTTCACCGCCACAAACAAGACATTGTAACCCCCAGATGTATTTGTGAATTCATGGCATGGCTTTTGCTGCAGCGTTATTCCTCAGCAACGATATTGACCTATGTGTCGGGAGTAGGTTGCCAATTAAAATTAAAGGGCGCACCTGACCCCACGGACTCCTTTGTAGTTGCTAAAATGCTCGAGGGCTGTAGGCGTAGTGGTAATAGCAAGACAAGAGGGTTCCTATTTCACCTGCAATATTATCACGTATCATTGCGGCTCTGCGGCAAGTTTCCTCATCATCATTTGAAGCGAAACTATTTCGGGCGGCCATGTTGTTAGCATTTTTTGGTTTCCTGCGGGTGGGGGAGTTCGCGGCCAATTTGCAGGATAAGGTGCAGCAGTCCGTTTTGCTGGTATCGGACGTTACATTGAGGGGTGGCAATACAACTTCCGGTCAGTCAGTACTCCTCTATGTGCGCCATACCAAAACGAATCAGCATGGACCCCCACAGCAGGTCCATATTTCTCAATCAGTGACGCCTGCACTTTGTCCGGTCACAGCGCTCACTAAATTCCTCCAAGTTCGCCCCCAAATACAGGGCCCTTTGTTCTACGACATCAACGGCCAACCCCTTACTCGGTTTCAGTTTCACAAGGTGTTGCAATTAGCCTTATCGGTTTGCGGTCTAGGGGCACCGCTGTTTCGGCACGGAAAATGGTTGTGCGCATGCGCAAGATTTGCGCCATTTAAGTGCGCCCTCTTGTGGTAAAAAGTACTATGAATATTAATGAGCTGAAAGGGTCACCTTAATTAAATTGTTTTTGAGAGGCACTGTGTTAATAATATTTATAGAATACGGCTTATTAAAAAACACAAAATTGGCCTTTAAATTGTCAGTACGTTCGGCAATTTAGATTGCCGGACACGCGTGAGAAGAGTGTCTAAAAGTTAACGTCTGTTGGTGATAGATCGACGATTACGGGATTTTTGACCGTTGTTAAAGGCTCAAAAGCATTGCTCCTAGAGTTTTGCCAGTCTAGGCTTGACATCCAGCGTGAAGAAGGGACCTTTTACAATGTATTTGCGCTCTGTGAACTGTGCAAACCTGATGGTACGCATTTGCAAGGCATTACATGACACGCTGATTTTTGCATTGATACATTACATCTTTGGAGGAATATCCACGAGAGCTCTACGTGCGTGATGGTTTCATGGGCGTCCTCATCGTGAAGGAGTTGCTCCGAAGTACATGCCGTCAGGTACGTATCTTCAAATAGCATTATTTTTAACAATTTTGATAAAGACATACATATACACGACAAATAGGCCAGTATGTTTACACCATTGCACAGTACATGTACTGTACGCTCATTTATAAATATGTCGGTTTTTGGTTTGTAGATTATGTTATTATTATTTGCAAACCGTGCTTACTACATAGCTATGCATGGCTATGCATGCCTCTATACATCAAAAGTTACTGCTTGGTTTAGAATATCTCTGAATATCAACAGGTGCTGAACTTTTTGGATTACTACAGTCATGTCTTTCTTCTCTTTTGAGCTAACTGCTTTGGTTGCATTTCCTGCACTTGACCCTCCCATTCATGAGGACATTCACAAAGAAGTGCTTGGCAGGTTGGATATGGGGAAGGCTGATTTGCTTCTTACATACTGGGCAAAGAACTGTTGAAGATGACACTTTGGAAAACAGCTCTTCTAGGCATTCCAAGCCAACAATGTTCCCACACTGTGTTTCGGTAGGTCTGTTGAAGATTTTGCAGCAGTACTTGCAAATGAAAGAACTATCATCTGACTGAAATGATCCTGCCCCGTTTTCGGAGTCGTTGTTTGCCTAAGCCACTCAAAGTTCTCTGCACAGTTGCCTTGGCTTTCTCCTCTTCCCTGTCAAGAGTCATAAGACGGGTGGGGGGCAATCATTTGGTACAGGATGTGTCTTTGCAAGATAAAGATTTGAACTGCAAAGATGGCACATGAAGGGAGGGTGGCAATGTGGCTCATTGGTTTCTACACTGATTTTATACTTTGCTTGTATCTTCTCTTGATTTTCTGAGCAAGGCTTAGGTTGCCTGTTATGGATTTTCCACGGATTTACTCTCTCGGCACATATTCTGCATAATTTCTGGAGATTGTGTATGTGATCCATAATCAAAGAGCCACTTTCCAATAGTCTGTCAATTAAAAGTGGTAAATTTACATGCTTGTTTCCTTGAAAGTTTTGTCAAGAGTAGCGTTGTTCTTTCCCTTTTGATTGGTATGTAGTTCCAGAACTATTTTTTATTTAAGGGAATTAAAAAGTGACAAATTAAAACAAACAGTTTCAGTGTAAGAAAACAATTTCAAATTTTCTTTCAAAGCCTTTCAAGTAAAAATAATCCACATGTTATGTAGTTTTTGAAAGTACATGTACATGTAATCTGAAAAGAGGACTATTTCATTTATCAACCTCTGAGGATGTTATTCAAAATACCAGTCATTTAAAGGTTTTGACAATACCCCTTCCAACCTGTTTATATACCAGAAAGTGGAGGTTACTTTGCACTGCTGGGAGGTTATAATTTACCAAAGAATATCGCGTTAAAGTGCTTGTCGCCCCGCATTTTTTTTCTAGCCAGGCGGGTATGCAGTAGTCAGTCGGGCAGATCGCCCGCACGTGATATACATGTACATGTAGTCTGGCACCGGTACCGGGCTTACGCGGGCTACCGAAATGGCAGTTCAGGCTGAAAATATCATCCATGTAAAGTCCA